GCTGCTGCCGGCCGAGCCTCCCCGCCGGGCCTCGCCTGCCCCCTTCAGCCTTCTCGGCTGTGGGTCCTAGTCAGCGGGGAGCGGTGGGAGACCATCTCCCCTCCCTTCTTCTCTTCTGGGGGGTGGGCGAGCAAAGGCTTGGTGCCCGCGGGTGGGTGGTCGGTAACACGAAAGGTCTGCATGCCTGAGGTTCCCTGGCTCTCTGCTTGCCCTGTGAGGTAGGAGCGAACAAACCACATGTAGCCGGGGAGCAACTGGGAATAAAAAATGGCACTTTCCCGCTCTGAGAGGATAGAGAAGAGGGGGGAAAACCGCTTGCGCGTCGGTGTTTAAGCAGAAGAAACTTCTCAGGGAGGAAAGGCTGCTTTTCTCTTCTGAGTGAGCAAAACGGCTACAGTAGGAAACAAACTTTGCAAGTTTGTTGAGTGGGTTTGAGAACTGTGAACTGAGTCGTTTAGTTGAACTTTTCTTTATGTAAAAGGAAATGGAGGCCTCAAGAAAATCAGTGTTAGTTCCCTGGAGGTTAGAGCCTGCGTGAGCATGTATCTGTGGGCAGGGTGACCTGGAAGCCTTGGAGTCCAGGTTGCTGAGGGTGCCGAAGGGAGTAGTGTAGGGTGTTCCCTGGGCATGAAAATTGGGATCAAAAGAGCAGACGTTAAAAAGATCTGCTTAAAGTTGCAGGCCCACGTTGCTGCATGTAAGCATCTTGTGGTGCACTGGAAAATCTTTCTTTTTGGGTATGGCACTTGTGAATCATTAACACAGCTTTAGATCAAATCCTTTCAAAGCTTATGTCTAGGACTGTGTATCTTGCATGTCTGTTTATTTAAAGCGTATATCATGGTTTATGGGAGAGTCGGTGATAAAAGGTAATTTTCTTCTTTCTTTCTTTCTTTCTTCAGTTATCTAGTCAGAGTGAAGTCATCACAAGAGTAGTTCAGAGACTGTGTGAAAAAAGGAAGAAGAATGTCCTCGCATATGGATACTCCTTACTGGATGAAAACAGTTCTCACTTCCAAATCATGCCGTCTTCAAATATATACAGCTACCTACCCAATACTGCAACAGAAACTATTCGTATCAGCGGCCTCTGGGAAACACTGCTGAGCAGGATAGGGGATGATGTGATGATGTATTTATTGGAACACTGTGCAATCTTTATGCTGGTTCCCCCTAGTAATTGTTACCAAGTTTGTGGGCAACCAGTTTATGAACTTATTTCACATAATGTAGACTCATCCCCAGTGTTTGTTAAACAAAGGTTTTCAAAGCATAAACGTAGTAGCTTGCTTGACTATATGCAAAAAAGGCTTATGTTTCATAGACAGTATCTTTCAAAGTCACATTGGTGGAAATACAGACAAAAACTTGAAGCTAATGTCTCCAGCATGGGAAATAAAAAAAGTAACAAGATACAAAGCTTAGTGTCCAGGTACCAGTGTTCTGCAAAAACTGTTTCTAAAGCAAGCAAACAGATCAGAATGGTTACAGAACATCTGGAAAAACAGAGTAGCTCCAGTTTGTATTTGTCAGCGACGGCACCATCTTTAAAAAGGAAGCTTCATAGGGAACAACTTGAAATTCCATCTAAGAGAGCAAAAGTGGAGGAGAAAGTGAGAGAGGAAAAGTCTTGTAATCTCACTCCTGATGTAAACCAAAGTAGTTCTAAGAGATATGGAACTGGGCATGTAGCATCACATTCTGTAAGTCTCATTAAAAAGCACATTTCTCAAAGAAGTAACAGTGATATGTCTGGTCCTTCTTTAGTTCACACATCTGGTGATGGGAAGAAGTTTGTGGCAGGTGAAAGTTCTTTTCTGCAAGGAGTTCAGAGTGACAGACCTTTAAAGTCCAGCAATGAAACGCAAGCAGAATCCCATAGAAAAGGAGTAGAGATGCATATGTATAAATCTCAGTTGGATTCTGTACAAATCAAACCCATGGAGGGTATTTCTTCAAAATGCAGAAGGCAGGAAAGTCCCCTAGCTCATTTGGCAAAGAAGTTACCAAACACGCTCTTGCGTTCTGCGGTGTATGTTGACAGGAAGCTGCTTCTGTATTCTCGCAGGAGTTTCCAAGAATGTTTTCCTAAATCGTTTTTATTGAATCGCTTGCAGGGCTGTCAGGCAGGTGGAAGACGGCTTATAGAAACTATATTCTTAAGCCAAAATCTGTTGGAGCAAAAGCACAACCAAAGTCTGCCACATCACAACTGGAGAAAGAAGAGGTTGCCCAAACGCTACTGGCAAATGAGACATACCTTTCAGAAACTGTTAAAGAACCATGGAAAGTGCCCTTACATAGTTCTCTTGAAAAAAAATTGCCCTGTCTGGATATCTGAAACCAGTGTGAGAAAAACTGAGCTGCCTTGTCAGGCAGCTTTGCCTGGGGAAGCAGAGGTTCACGAGCAAGCAGAACAGTTTGGGAAAGAGCCTACTAAGTGTGTGACAAGCAGCAGATGTGAATCTGGTCACGCTGATGTGCCAGACAACTTACACGCTCCTCTAGCAAAATCTGTGCGTGAGGAGTCGCAGAGTGAGGAGCAGAACCCAGGAGAGGTGTGTGATTCAGCCCTTGGGGAGCTCCTCAAGCAGCA